GATGCTCCCGGTTATTCTCCCTGACTGGAGTGCTAAATGGTATGGGTGAATGATGAGTATGCCCCCTGGGTGACTCCCTGGCTGGAGTAGGCACTGGTGCCTGTGTGCTTCCTATTTCCCATGGATTCCTGTTTGGAACACTTGCGGAATCTTGGAATAGGCCGTCTGTGGCCTCTCTGTTTGGGCCCGGCTGCTGCCAACACCCATCCCTTTTCCTATAGTGGTCCCCCTCCTCCCCTGGAAAAGGCCCAGGAGTTTCTGAGGGTAAGTCCAGTCTTTTACGCAGCTGGTCGATATGCCGTCGAAGGACACGACCATCATCCAACGAGACCTCGTAGGACAAAGGACCAGTAACCTTGCATACTACAGCAGGAACCCACAAGTGACCTGGCCCGTAATTACGGGTCCATACCGGGGCACCCACTTGCAGATACCTCGGTGCCCTGGGTTGTGTAGCCTTAGGAGGCAGTCTGTCCGGGTGCAACCGGTCAAGTTTAGTAGTCATTTTGCAGCCCCAGTGCAGTTCAGCTGGGCTTTTCCCAGTAGAAGTTGAAGGTGTGGTGCGGTGTGCAAGAAGAAAGTCTGCCAACCTGTGGTGCCAGTCTCCATAGGTCAGTTTCTTTAAAGCATCCTTGGTGATGCGGACCATCCGTTCAGCCATACCGTTGGTGGAAGGGTGGAAAGGTGCAGAGGTGGCATGACGAATCATGTTGGCCTATAAGAAAACTTGGAATTCGGAAGAGGTGAATTGAGGGCCATTGTCAGACACCAACACATCCGGAAGCCCATGTGCAGCAAAAATCCCCCTCAGTACTTGAATGGTCTTTGCAGTGGTGGTTGAAGAGACAGGTACAACCTCAAGCCACTTTGAATAGCTATCAACCAGGACCAAGAAGAATTACCCTGAAAGGGCCCAGCATAATCAATGTGCACCCTGGACCAAGGTGACTGTGTGTCCTCCCATCTATGTACAGGAGCCTGGGGCATTTCTGGGCGTGAGTGCTGACAAAGGTGGCATGCGTGCACCTTAGCCTCAATTTTCTTGTCTAACCCAGGCCACCACAAATGGCTGCGTGCAAGCGCCTTCATTCTTACAATGCCAGGATGGCCCTCATGAAGGGAACCTAAGACTCTAGACCACATTGAGGTAGGAATAACAATTCTGCTGCCCCACAGCAGGCAACCCTGAAAAGTGGATAACTCATGTCTCTTAAGCCAGAAACTCTGAAACTCAGTACCTGGACAACTCTCTGGCCATCCAGACAAAACCCAGGATAAGACACAAGAGAGTGTGAGATCTGTGGCTGATTCAGCAGCCACATCCCTGGCATTTAAAGGTGACTCAGGCAACGCCTGAATGGAAAGGATGGTTGATGGCAGGGGTAGGATCAGCGTCCACTACCTGTAAGGGTAATCTACTGAGGCCATCAGCATGGCCCATTTCTTTGCCAGGTTTGTGAACTAAGGAAAAGTCATAGGCTGACAGGAAGATGGACCATCTCAGCATCCTAGGGGAGATGATATGAGGGGGTTGTTTGTTTGTGGTAAACAACCCCAACAAAGGCTTATGGTCAGTGTAGACCGTGAAATGCCTGCCATATAAAAAATCATGGAATTTTTTAATTCCAGCAACAACAGCTAAGGCCTCCCTGTCTTTCTGGGCATAGTTTCGCTCAGCAGAAGACAAGGTTCTGGAGTAATATGCAACAGGAACCTGAGTTCCTTCAGGTTATAGATGGCTAAGTACTGCTCCCACCCCATAAGGGGAGGCATCACAAGAGATGCACACAGGGAGAGTTTCATTAAAATGTGCAAGCACATTATTGGATGTGAGTAAAGCCTTAACCTCACTGAAGCTTGCTTCATCTGCTTGTGACCACTGCCACACTGCCTGTTTGTCCAGAAGCCTATGAAGTGGTTCAGTTACATTAGCCTTGTTAGGAATGAATGCATTATAGAAATTCAAGAGGCCCAGAAAAGCTTGTAGTTCAGCTTTGGACTTAGGCCTAGGAGCTTGCATGATAGCTTTTAATTTGGACTCAGCAGGATGAATCCCATTGGCATCTATTTTGAATCCCAGAAAATCTGTAGAAGGCACCCCAATTTTACATTTGTCTTTTTAAAGCTTGAGGCCCGTTTTCCGGAACCGCAGCAGGACAGCCCTCAATCTCTCAGCTTTGAGTGGAATCTCCAGCAATTAAGACATCATCAAAGTAGGGGCAAACCCCTGGTATACCCCTCAAAGTATTTTCCATTACACTTTGGAAAATTCCAGGAGCCACATTTACTCCAAATTGTAGTCTTTTGACTTTGAATGCCCCCCTGTGTATTACAATGGTTTGTGCTACAGCAGCAGCTTCATCAACAGGTAACTGTTGATAAGCCTGTGCCAAATCTAGCTTTGCAAAAACATGCCCCCCCCCTTAAGGGAAGCCAGAATATGGCTGACTACAGGTACAGGATAGGCATGTTGTTGCAATGCCTTATTTAGGGTGCACTTGTAATCTGCAAAGATGCAAATGTCCCCATTAGCCTTAAGAGGCGTGACTATGGGAGTTTCCCAAGGACTGGAGTCAACAGGTTCTAAGACTCCTTGCTGAATCAATTTGTCCAATTCAGCATCAATTTTTCCTTTTAAAGCAAAAGATACTCTCTTTGCCTTTACTCTGATAGGAGTGACAGTGGGGTCCAATTTTAAGGAGACTGGGGGCCCTTTGCATGTACCCAGCTGTGGGCTGAAGACATCTGCAAATTCTTTGCAGACTTCTTGTAGACCTACTGTTTGCAAGCTATTGAGCCCTGTAACTTGTATTCCCAAGGCCTCAAACCAATCAAGTCCTATGAGACTTGTGCACTCACCCCCAACTATCAATACATCTAATGGACCTTCAAAATCCTTATATTGTACGTTAAGGGTGGCCTCCCCCTTAACACACACTTTGGCGTTTTGAAAGTCGGTTAGAACTATATTGGATGGCCTAAGCTTGGCCTGGAACCCACTGCTAGAGCAAATCTTTCTGAATGTGTGAATGGAAATAATTGAAAGTGCAAACCCAGTGTCTAGTTCCATGACCAATGGAACTCCTTGCAACTTCACTTTAAGTGACTGTTTCTTTTTGAGTGGCTTGTGTGTGCCTGTCCTATAAATGCGTCTTCGTGAAGCACAGAAACCCACTCTGTTTTGGCTGGGGACCCTGGTACCTTTCAGGCGCAATTCTTCTCGGGGTTGTACCTTCTGATGGCCCAGACACACAGTTGCTATGTGGCCTTGCTTTCCACATGCTCTACAAATTGCAGAACGGAACCTGCAGTCGGTCCTCTTGTGGTGACCTCCACATCCGAAGCACTTGGGTACAGCTGAAGACTTTTCTTTGCCTTCCTTCTGCTTCCTTTCTTTGGCTGGGTAGAGATGATCTACCTCTTCTTCAGGATCCTCTTCCGAACTCTCCTGGACTCCCTCATGGTGCACGGAAACAGCTTCTGGAGTATTTCTGATAGGCCTCATATTCTTGATTGCCCACCTGCTGCCTCTTCTGCAGTAACCTCTCTCAAGGCATCTTGGAACGATATGTCTTCCTTAGCAAAAAGTCTCTGCCGCAAGTCTCTGTTTCTAAGCCCACATACAAATCTGTCTCTCAGCCTTTCTTCTAAGTCTTTAAACTCACAAGGCTTAGCTGCTCTTCTCAAAGCTGCAATGTATTCTTTAGCTGATTCACCAGCCCGTTGATCCCTCTATTCAAAGGTATGTCTCCATGCAATAACAGACAACTTGGGCTGAAAATGTTCTTTTAGTAATTTTTTTAAATCTGTGTAGGTAACAGATTCAAGAGGCGCAGGGGCTGCTAAGTTTTCAGCAATTTCAAATGCATCTTGACCACAAACACAGAGCAAAGTAGCGGCCTTTAAGCCATCTTCTCTTACTTGGTTTACTTTCAAATAGTTTTCTACTCTGGCCACATAAGACTCCCATCTTTCTGGGTGCATGACATCAAATTCAGAGAGCCTTCCTATCTTTGCCATTTTCTCTTTTGTAAGGAAAGGGTCGATCAGCCAGCTTACCTCCAATGACGCTGTATTGGCAGGCAGGTGCTGAATTTAACGCCGTCTTCCTAGCTGTTCTCTGGACTCCTGGGTAAGCTTATAATTCTTTTAATTGCTTGTAAGGCATCCCACCTTCGTCGCCAGTTGTTGAGTCCTCAGCTTAATGGCAATAAATCACAGAGCATCTAGTAGTGTCAAGAAGCCTTTATTGTTGTTCCTTCAGCTCCGTTTCAGCTCTGAGGCACGCAGGCCTCTCTGCCTCTCTTAAGAACGCTTCCCTGGACCAAATGGCAACATTTGGCGCGCTCCGTGCCTTGCGCATGCGCGCGAAGCCGGCGCCAGCCAGTCTGGTCCCGGGCAGCTTGCAACTGCCCGGGACCATTGCAATGTCCCGAGCCTGCCTTTGCAGGCTCAGGACACAACAATTAACACAGGACGTCTTTTGATAAGTCACTTCATAGAGACAGCCGCACAAGGAACTTAAAATTTAGATAGTCAATCTTGTGTGCATATTATTAGTATTTGGAACCTCTCTGAGAGGAGAAATTATGTAAATTGATATCATGCTAGTTATATAGCATCCATGCTGGGAATTCATAAGAAGTAGCTTGACAGTGAAATATTTCACTTGAGCAAGAACAATCTGACATTTAGGACTCCTTACATTAACAACTATTTCTTTATTTCCTTCATAATGAACACTTTAAAAGGGAAAAAAAAATCCCCTTGAAAGTGGCAACTAATAAATCTGCCACTTTACTATTCTGACCTTTGAAGAAAAAGTGGATTGGAAAGCAATAGGCATGCAATGGCATTAAGAAAGGAAGAAAATAGCTGGTGCTTGTCCGCAGTCAGTTAATAGCCCAGTGGCTTTTATTCTGTAGCTCCATACCTGCAAAAGACTCAATAAAAGGATCAGGCTCAGGACCAATTAGTGTCACATTAATCTGTAGCGATAATGAGCAGAAGCTGCTGGAGGCCTTACCAGTTTCTCGGTATGCTTTATGATGAGGCTCTTGAGTGAGCTATGCAGTGCGATGGAAGGAAAATTGGGAAAGCACTTTGAAGAATCGCTTGTTTCCTGCATGTCTGGCAGCTAGGAAAAACATGCCTGAGAGGAAAAAGCCCGTTAAGTGCTGAGGATGTCTGCTGCTTTCTTGGCAAGGAAAATGTCCGACACAATGTAAGCTGGTTTCAGAAAATTAGGTCACTTCTGTTAGATCGGCAAAGATGGCCTTTCCAGAATCCTGCCTTTGAGATATATTTTCCAGCCTCTTCAAATGCCTCTAGGTTGTCAGTGATGAGGGGCTGATTTTGATTAGAAAGGTCATGGTGGTGCTGTAGTGCAACGATACTCTGGTTTTTCTCTTGAGATTGTATAAATCTGTCGGTTATGTGTGTTTTGTTCTAGCTGTTAAATGGCCATCAGGGAGATGTAGAAAAACTTTCCCAATTATTGATTTCCACATACGGGAAAAGAGTTTGCTGTCATTTAATTTGCCACTGAAAAGACTCCGGAGATTATAAAACCTCATTTCAACCCCAAGCCTAAAGCCAAGGCAACTTGGGGAGGGCTAGATATTCTGTTAATAAATAACATTAAAAACTTGAAATCTACTAGCTGATGCATCTGGCACTTATGCCCTCCCTTCTTCATGTGTATTGTTTTTGTTATTTAACTTGAGGAATTTTAGCAGAGTTATTCAAATACCAGGTTTTAGTGATATTGCATACTTTAGCTCTGAAATGGCTGAGCTGGTTGCAGAAAAATCTAATTGACTTAATAGAATCATTAGACGAATGACTAATTCATATCCGACATAACCAGAAATGGATTGCTTTCAATATAGAATACGGAACTGAGAGTAGTAATGTAATTACAAGGTAAATAATTTCATTATGTTATTTTAATACTATAGTATTAATACTAATACTATCAGCATATTAAATGGCTGAATATGCATTTTTTTTAAAAAAAAAATAGTCTAGTTGTCTTGTACCTTGGTCATTAGAAAGTCAAGGTCTTCCTGTCTGGATCTGACAAGTTTATTGAATCACAGTTGCTTTCCATTATGTTTGTAAATATTCCTAAGGCACTGGGATTTGTAACCAAAATCTTCTCAGGAAAGTAGGAGAAAATCTTATAGCACCCCATGAATGTGTATATGTGGGAAGGTTGGAGGCTTCAAAAGGCATGGTCACCATGTTCTAAGTTTGACTGGAGAGCTTGGAAAAGTGGAGGACATCCATAGAGTGACGAGTGACCAATTTGCACCTGTCTCACAATACATTAGCTTTTTTTGCAGGCATTGTTCAACAAGGATGGATTAGTTAGGCTTTGCAATGAGTAACAGAGATTAGATTATGGTGAGTAGCCCTTTCTCTTTCTTTAGCTTGTCCACTTCTCATGGGCTGAGCTTGATATACTCTGTCTTTCTCAAAGCCTGACCCTGAGGCCTGATCTAAAGGTACTTGGTCCAACTGGACTTTACCACTCTTAGAAGACAAATTAGCTCACCTTGGGTCATTTCAGCCCATTTGGAGGTTGCTTTGCATGATTCTTTCCTTTTTTCCATGTGCAAATAGAAGAAAAGATGGAAGATGTGATTCTGCCCATGTCATACTTTTCTTAAAAAAAGAGTTGAACTCATCTATTTCCCTTGAGGAGAAAACCGAGAGCAAGTTTTTATTTCTTTTCCTAAAAAAAAGAACAACAAAACAAAACATTTTACTTGTACATTGGAACTGTTGCCACAATGGATAAAAACATGCAGCTCTCAAATTGGAGCAACAGACACCAAAATTACAGTATCCTGTTGCTCAGAATGTTGCTTGCTTTCACTCATGATTTTGAAGAATGCTAGAAATATTCCTCCTTAGAATATACTCTCCCCACCACCACCACCCTTAGGATAATTTAAATTAAGAAATTGATTTCTTCTGTGCCCTGTTTCTGAACTAGAGCTTTCAAAGTAACTGCTTAAAAAAAAGTTAAAGAACTGGAAGTCCACTCACAAGATTCCCAAACACTGATTTTGTTTGAGCCTCACCTGAACCTTGGTGTTCCTTGCTTCTAGAGTGTATTTTTTATCAAAAGGGACATAGATGAATGCCTAAAATATTTATAATTTGTTCAGATTCTTTCTGAATATTTTGAATTTGTGCATATGGCACCTCACACATGTTCTGACAGTCTGGGATTATTAGACTGCTTAGACAATCTGTTCACGTAGCTCTGGGTTGTTTTATCTAATGATTCTGTTTGAACATAATTGCAACAAAATTTAAAATCCTAAATGAATGAAAGAATAGGCAGATGTTTCATTTTAAGTCATTTGGATATAATGCAGCCATATTGTTTTCACACAGTAAACCCGGAAGCTTTTTTGTGTGTCTGGTCTACTGAAATATATGGAATAAAGAAGGCTGTGTTTTTGTTCATTTTTAGTTCAATGGGAGAAGTTTCAAAGTACAAGAAAATATAATATATGCAATGATGCAATGATTTATATATTGCTGTGCTTTTCCTTTTTGCTAAAATTTCAATGTTGTTAAAAAGGGGGAAGAATTTACAACTTTGATAATTTGGGTTCCAGTTTGAGAAGGAAGGAAGGAAGGAAGGAAGGAAGGAAGGAAGGAAGGAAGGAAGGAAGGAAGGAAGGAAGGAAGGAAGGAAGGAGCTACTTAATTATTGACCACACTGTATCAAAGGTGCTTTTTCAAAAGGCAACTGGACTTTATTTTTCCCTGAAGATGTTTCGCTTCTCATCTAAGAAGCTTCTTCATTTCTGACTGAATGGTGGAGAATGGAAGGATTTATATTCCTTGCAGTCATCTGGTCATTAGCATTCTTTCTGAGAGTCATTGAAGCCATCTGTGCCCTCAGGGTCACCTGAATAGTGCAAATGGGTGTGGAACTGTTCTGTTCTGAGCATTGGTAAGGCATTGAGACAAGGCAGGAGTAACAACAGTTGCTTCTTTATTCAATCTTCAACAAAACAACACAAAATGGCATGGATCCCTTTTATACCCTTCTGCAGGGAGCAGCATCAACCAATAAATGCAACGTATTTTTCCCGCCTTGCGCATACGCAATAGGCTGGAGACAGCCTGTCTGGCCCAGGCAGCTTTGTGGTCTGCCCGGGATTTTCTACAGCTTCCTGCACGTGCTCTGTCAATCACAGGCCCCGGACATAACACTCCTCCCCTCTTATTTCAAAGTACATAGATCTTGCTATTTTACTACAAATCTAACACCTTTTCAATTCTTTTGAGCGTGTTCTTATTTATAAGGAACACTTAAGCCTGCCCACCTACTAACAGGAACTTCACATAGTCCTGCAAATACTTTGGTGGGCCTCTGGTCTGCTCTGATCTTCTTGGAGCAGTTGCAAGTGCCTGGTCTACAAGCTCGCCTGCCAGGCTCGGCAGACCGGGACTTTGATGCCCACTAGGTACAGGTGAACCCAAATCATGCTGACTGGCCAGGTCCTATAAACCCAGACCAGAGTTCCTTGATGGAGTGGAATTCCCCAGATCCATGACAGACCCCTCTTTGGAGCACTGTTCCATAGGCACAAGGCCAGCAAACGGAGTGGCCTGAACAGCCAGTTGCGTGCAATGTCCCATGGACCCAGTGCCAGAGTCAGGAGCCACCTCATTGGCAAAACCCCTATGTGCAGAGTGCAGATCCCTGCTTCTGCAGGAAGACTAAGATCCACGATTGTGATCGCGGTCCTCCTCCCCCACGAGAGCAGAGTCAGGAGCGGAAGGGCACAGCTGGTCAATGTGCCGACGCAACACACAACCATCTTCCAGGGCCACTTTGTATGACAGCGGCCCAGTGACTTTGCAGACCACTGCTGTCACCCAGAGATGTCCAGGTCCATATTTCCTTGTCCAAACTGGATCGCCCACCTGTCGTCTTCTAGGTGCCCACGGCTGTGACACCTGTGAAGCCACCTGGTTTGGGTGCAATCTGTCCAGTTTGATAATGAGGCAGCAATCCCAGCGGAGTTCCACTGGGCTTTTCCCAGTAGCTGTGCAAGGTGTGGTGCGTTAACAAAGAAGAAAGTCAGCTAACCTGTGATGCCAGCTCCCGTGAGTGAGCTGCTTCAAGATGTCTTTGATTGTGCACACCATGCGCTCAGCTTGGCCACTGGAAGCTGGATAAAAGGGTGCCGAAGTAGCATGGTGGATCAAGTTGGCCTGTAGGAAAGCCTGAAACTCAGAAGAAGTGAATTGAGGGCCGTTGTCGAAGACAAGAACATCTGGGAGCCCATGGGAGGCAAAGATCCCCCTCAACACCTGGATGGTCCTGGCAGTCGTCGTAGTGGATACTGGAACGACCTCTAGCCATTTAGAGTGACTGTCCACAACAATGAGGAAGAATTGCCCCTGAAAGGGGCCAGCGTAGTTGATATGAACCCTTGACCAAGGAGCATGTGTGTCCTCCCACCTGTGTATAGGAGCCTGTGGCATTTCAGGCCTGGACTGTTGGCAGATGTGGCACCCCTGGACCTGGGCCTCAATCCCCTTATCAAGCCCAGGCCACCAGAGATAGCTGCACGCAAGAGCCTTCATCTGGACTATGCCCGGATGTCCCTCAAGACTCTAATCCTCAATGAGGTTGGGATTACTACCCTGCTATCCCACAGGACACAACCCTTAAAGGTGGATAACTCATGCTTCCTTTTCCAGAAACTCTGGAAATTGGTGCCAGGACACATGTCAGGCCATCCTGACAGCACCCATGTCAACACACATGTTAGGGTGTGATCATTGGCTGTTTCTGCAGCCACATCCCTTGCATTGAGGGGTGACTCAGGCAACTCCTGAATAGCTAATATGTGGTTAGCTGGAGCAGGATCTGATTCTACAAGCTGTAGAGGCAACCTGCTGAGACCATCTGCATGGCCAATTTCTTTGCCTGGTTTGTGAACCAGTGAGTAGTCATATGCAGAAAGGAAAATTGACCATCTCAACATTTTAGGAGAAATTATGTGTGTGGCTTGCTTGTTTGTTGTAAACAACCCCAGCAGTGGCTTATGGTCTGTAAAGACCATGAAGTGGTGACCATACAAAAAGTCATGGAACTTTTTTATGCCAGCCACTATGGCCAAGGCTTCTCTGTCTATCTGTGTGTAATTATGCTCAGCAGATGACAGAGTCCTAGAATAGTAG